AGTTTTTATGTGTAGCGTTGTTGCTGCTTTAAGCCTTGGCATGCATTTGGAGTATTAATTTTGTCCATTATCGGACACAAAACGAATAAAATACTCAGTATTTTTTACTCCAAATGCATGGCAAGGCTTAAAGCAGCAACAACGCTACACATAAAAACTGATGATGGTGGAAAAATACACCGAAACGTATTTTGATTGATAAATAGAGACAATAAATGACTGAAACCCAGGAATGAATTTGATAATGCTGAATGTATTATCTAAGATTAAGTGCGAAAAAGCAAATGATCCTGAGTGTTAAACTGCACGCACTGCGTGTCTTTCCAGTTGTTACATTCCTTGTTACACCTGTTAGTATTAATATTTTCTCATTCTTTAATACGCCAAAAGTGCCAAATGTTAAAAAGCGGAAATTTCCAATAGTTGGTCTTTACTAAAGTTAGTAAAAATACAATTGAATGGCACAATTGGTGATAGTCATAACTTGTATCAAATTTGAGACAAAATTCAGGGGCAAAGTCCTTGCTGACTGCCTTTAAATGCGTATAAAGCAAACGTGATAACTGATGGTGGAAGTGATGAGCTTCTAAATGATGAATTGAGTGCGTGAATTCAAGATTTGCACATTTACCTCTAAAAATAGCAGGAAAACGCATCGAAAGAGTGTCAATTGATCATTTGGAATAACATTGTGGCATCTGTAACTAACCATCTCGACCAAAAGCAGACAGGGTCATATTTTGTATAATTCACTAACTTTTATATCAGTTTTTGTACGTTTACAAACTATACTCATTTAATGTAACAATTTAGAGCACGTTTTGTCCTTTCATTGGCAATTGAGCTCGGTTTCCATTGCACAACGTAAAACACATTCGCGTTTTGTTAAATGGATTGCAACAAAGCACGTTCTCAGATAGATCTCAACACCCAAACAGTTCTTTCACAAACTATTGTCTTTTATAGAGAGCTAAATGTTGCACTGTATGGACCTACTATTGCCTTAAACTGTAAATATTCCTGTATGTGTAATCACACTTGTGCTATATCAATGCACTTACAGACGAAAAAATGGTCGCATCTAGACAATAAAATTTAGCTGTTTACAGCCACCATGATAACACCTTGATGTTGGCTCTTCACCATATATTTAGAATATACTGTGCAAGTTATGTACCTTATGTATTTTATTACAAAACAGTATGAAGTTAAGTACAATAATAAGAATCTATATTTATGCAACTATAAAGAGTAGTATATGTATATTGTTATGAAAAATTGTATATTTACAGCTTTTAATATTATGTGTTTGATTCCAAAACTGATTTACTAAAAAAAAAAATGATGGTGTTCATGTTTCAATGGAAAATGAATGAAAAGTAAAAAACATGTTTTAGCGTTTATGTTAGCTAACTAATACCAGTCCACTGCCGACTGGTGAATTGTCATCATTTGAATAGAATTAGATCAGTTAGTTCCTACTATTGCTAAGTTATAGATTTATTTTTTTGTACAAAACAGTTACAGCTTCTAAGCGAACTTTTTAGAACCAGCATATAAATTTATACTGTTTGCAAAATTCATATTTTATAAGTGTTGATTTTTGAAAATACATTTAGTTTCTACAATATACTAGGCTGTTTCCTTTAGTCTTAAGGGGGACAATTATGAAAAAAAGACAAGATTTTCAGCGCTCTATTTAAACTTAAACACATTTTTTTGTTCCTTATGTTTGAAATCATTCATTTTCGGCGGCGTTATTTGTCTGGGTTAAGAACACTTGTTGGGAGCCTCCGTTTTGTTGAGCCACCTGAAAAGAAATGACCGCTCGTTTGTTCTTAGTTACTGTTAAGGCACTAGACCTACTTGGACCACTTGCTGCGAGGTATTTGTCGTGATTGGTGCTTGGATGATTAGCGGCTGCGAGCTGCTCCCCTGAAGCTGCAGCTTGATCATTTGCAATTGCTGAGGCGTGAGTTGAATCTGGAACATTTAATTTAGTAACTCATATAAATGTGTTTTGATGACATACGGGAATCTGTTGAATTTCGCCGTTTGGCGTGACGATCTGCTGGATAATCTGCACATTTCCCACGGGGTTTTGCGAAATTGTTTGCCCAGTTGACTGCAGAATAATGGGCGTTTGAGTAGATTCAGTGCCTGCCGAGCTGGAGGTATTCTGAGGAACCATTTACATTAGAAATGGACCAATGGGAAGTTGGTGTGGCTCACCTCCACCGCGCTGACTTGCACAGTCTGCACTTGCGGCTGAACAATCTGGATCGTGCCCTGCGGCTGCGTCACTGTTGCAGTGGTTGTGGTGCCTGTACTCGATGCAGAACTATTTTGAAGATTTGCATGGTGCTGCTGCGCTAACTGGAAATAATAGTGCACCTGAAATAACACATGTTACAAGCAAACACTGCTTACAGTGAATTAATTAGTATAAACAGTGGGGCATCAAGTTACCTGATCCGTGGTGCCTCTTGCGGATTCTTCTCTTCTAGCTGGCTTGATGTCTTCCCTCGGCACTATATCGATTAAAAAGTCGAACTGGTCGTACTTTGCTATGGCCATTGCTATGTCATTTCGCTAAATAATTAAAGCAGAGTAACAGACAGTAGAATTGTAGTCGCATGTTTCTTATACCTGCAGAGTTCTTCGCTTATTGTCTTCTGTGTGGATCCAGGCCCTTAAGGTAAGCTCATGAATGAAGATTTCCGCCGCTTTTGCAAAGAGTAACGGTGCCTCTGCACTAATCATTTTCACATCTTCATCTAGCTTCATAATCTTTTTTATTCTGGCCAGGGGCAGCACTTGCTGTTTCAGATCAAGCTGGAATTTAAAGCCGAAATTAAAAATACAGGTTTTATCATTGCCAAGCACGTACATTTCGAATGGAATCTATTTCCTCTATCACTTCAGGCCAAAATACTGATAAAGCCTGTTGGGCTTCGGTAACCGGCGCTGATTGATCGTCACCCTGAGCACCTTCATTTTTGGTGTCAGCTTCGGCTCCATCTCTAGAATGTATTTCATTAATATTGCCATTTTGGCTGATTTTATTCAAATAGGTTTCATCCAATGGAATGAAACCAAGAAACTTAATTGGTTCGAGTTTGTGTGTAAGCGTGTTGGATCTATCGAGGCTTTCTATTCCTTTTACGATACTTACGCATTTACAAAAAAAAGTGATGTAGCCATGTTGTACCAAGAACTTGTTACTGCTCTTTGGCCTTTTTGTGAGCTTTGGGCCTGTGCAGTTCTCTGTCGCTGCTCAGAGCCCGTTTAGCTGAGGCCTCTTCAGAATCAGATCCTTCTGAGTCAAGTTCAAGTGTCTTCTCTATGGGCCCTAAAAACATTGATGATTTTCATTAGGGCAAAATCGCGAAAAAATAACGTCCGCAAGTGGGCATGTTGCGGTTGCTTCTTGCCTGATTCGTTTGCAACTAGAGCAGACAAGTATTCGTTTACGTTCTTCTGGAGGACTTTTAATGACTTCCTGTAGGCGCTGTAATCTCCTAATGAAACTGTTTCCGAATATTCTTTTAAAGCTTCGTTACCACTTTCCAGTTTCAGTTTCAAAGCCATTACATTTATTTGACAACAAAGTAACCTATAAATCAATTATACAGCTCTACGTCTCTGCCAGTGTTACGTTAGGGAATTTCCATCGATGGCTAGATCGAGAAAATAGCGAGAAGAAGAAATCAGTTTGTTCTTAGATGTAGATTCTTGTGATGTTCAATAGTTTACTACAGGGTGATTCAAAATTGGCGTTATTCCTCTGAAGGTGTTGACTGGGGGTGTTTTAGAAGTACAGAAAAATTAGTAAAAAAATAATTGTTATTAAAAACTGAGATATTTGCAAAAAACTATATCAGAAGAATGACAACAACAATGTTTTGCAAGGTAAAAACCTGTTGCTTCGTAATTATTAAAAACTCCGGTATCCATAGAAAAATAGAGAAAGTGACGATAAAACAGATAAGGATAAACGATAAATTCAACAAGATTTGTTAAATGTAGGGATCGCCTTTTCTCGAAATATCAAATTGTCACCGCGAAATTGTTCTTTGTTGTCATCATAACAAGGCGGCTTCACTTTCTAAAAAGGCCATTTATTTATCTCTAGAATGATGTACAAATGAGCGTTCTTGCTCATTTTGCCTCCAAGACATGAGCAAAAACGGGACGGAGAACATGAAATTTTGGCATAATCTTGCACCTAAGTGTGTGATATTCAAATTTGGCTTTCTGAGTCAAAACTATTCGAATTTCCTCACTCACGTTGTTACGACTGAATCGAGTTTTCAATTCTATATCCAACGATGCCAAAACGAATTATGTGGCTCGATTGGTTCTTGAGAAACTTCGAAACAAGCAGCGTCATGTTCAAGTGCATTTTGCAACTCAAAAAAACCACGCAAATCTAAAACTTCTTGAATTCAATCATTTTTTGAGAAAACTGTCAACATTTCCCCATCCATGGTTCACTTTCTAAAAAGGCCATTTATTTCTGTCTAGAATGATGTACAAATGAGCGTTCTTGCTCATTT